AACATCATCGGGAGGGGTAGCAACGAGTCATATAGCTCGTTTATAGGGACTCATTATAAAACCGAGTACACTCTAAAAACACTCATATAAGTTATAATAGTACTTATGTTGAGCACAAGCCACATACTTGTAGGATTTGAAACTATATATATATATATATATATATATATATATATATATATATATATATATATATATATGTGTGTGTGTGTGTGTGTGTGTGTGTGTGTGTGTACGGTAAGCATAAACTTTTTTGTTATAAAAAGTACAGTTTTATATAAGCTGGAAAAGCATCTATATATAATATAAACATTCGTTTGGTACAAAACTACTTTGAGTCATACATGTGAACTCATCAACATTATGTTGATGTATTTTGAAAATGCATGTATTCTCAGGAACTTAAGAGGATGGAAGTATACACACTTGGGATACTCATGGAACTTTTGTTTATTTATCACAATACTATATTTTTATTGATGCATGATTGTTAAGGTTTGCACTGCATTTAGAATTATCTTGTAATGTTTTTGTACTGTTTTGTGTAAGAAAATGACTATGATAGATGATGACGTCGCACTGCGCGACACTTATTCCAATGGTCAGAGGTATGACATAAACTTATCTCTAAGTTGCACTCGATGCTTAAAACTGTTGAGAAGAATATCTCAAGGAAAACTCCTCTAGTGCTTATGATTTGTGAAGGACAAATCAAGAAGAGTAAAGGTAAGAACTTCAAGGGCAAGCCACAAGATGACAAGGGAAAAGGTAAGAAAGTTCACAATCCCAATCGCTAAAGAAGAAGAAAAAAATTGCTAAGGATGATTCCTTCTATAAGTGTGAAGTTATTGGTCATTAGAAAACGAATTTCCTACTTATCTTGTTGGGTTGAAAGATAAGAAGGATGGAGGAGGCACTTTAGGTATATCCATTTTCATGATTAAAATAGGAATATTTACTATTTCATCTAATACTTAGGTACTTAATACTGGTTGTGAAACTCACATATGTAATTCTCTACAAGGGTTCAAAAAGAGTAAGGAGATGAAGACAGACGATATGGTACTACATGTTGGCTATGAAGCCATTGTTGCGGTCCAAGCGATAGGACATTCTGAATTATGTTTACCTAATGGACTATATTTAAATTTAAACAATGTATGTTTGGTTTCACATTTAACTTGAAATATCAATTCAGTTTCTCCATTAAAGAAATGTGGTTGTACTTATCAGTTTGTTGATGATAATATTCAATCTTTTTTAATGGAATATCCTATTTTAAGGCTAGGCCTAAATATGGAATTTATAAATTAAGCATATATGATTCTACAAAAAATAATTCCATTTATCATGTTAACACCAAAAGGGTCACACAAGATCTGAACCAAACATATCTATGGCATTGTCTCTTTGGTCATATAAACAATAAACACATATCCAAACTCGAAAATAGTAGATTTTTGGGGGTAGATGACATTAAGTCATTTTCTGTATATATATATATATATATATATATATATATATATATATACATATATCTTGTTTGTGAGGAAAGAAGACAAAGTGTTCCGTTAGGCATCATACATACCGATTTGTGTGGTCCTTTCAAAACAATGTTAAGATACGGTGAAAGATATTACATCATGTTCATATATGACTTCAATCATTTTAGTTATGTTTATTTCATGATATATAAACCTGAAGCATTTGAAAAGTTCAAACTGTTTCAAAGTGAAGTTGAAAATCAAGTGGAAAAGACAATTAAAATTTGTTGTTCAGATAGAGGTGTGGAATACTTGAGCCAAGAGTTCTAAGATCATTTTAGGATTCATGGGATTATCTCAGAGCTTACTCTACCCAGAACACCACAACTTAATTATGTGTCTGATAGGAGGAATAAAACCCTACTTGATATGGGTTGATCTACAATGAACAAAATTACTCTCCCTGTATCATTTTGGAGTTATTCCTTACTCACCACCGTTCGTATTTTGAATATATCTCCAATTAAAAAATTATACAAAACACCATTTGTGATTTGGTATGGTAAAGCACTATCTTTATCTTACTTGAAGGTTTGGTGTTGTAAAGCTTATGATAGACATGAAACTTCAAGAAAAATCAAACCAAGGTCTACCAAATGCATCTTTGTAGGATACCTTAAAGATTGATTAGGATATTACTTCATCATCCATAGTGACAATATGATCTTTGTTTCACAAAAATATGAATTCTTGGAAAACAAGTTTCTAATGAATGAAGCAAGTGGTAGGTGTGTGGAACTTGAAGAATATCAAGAACCACAACCCGATGCAACTGAAGTTGGCACTAATACTCAAAAATAAATTGTTGAAGATGAAGAAATTGTTGTTCTTCAACCAAATAAAACACATGACATTCGCAGATACGATTGAATTCATCATGAACCTTAGAGATATAAATTTTTTGTTGAGAAATGCTTCATGATGATGAATGTTGATCAACCCATCAGATATCAAAATGTCATGGTAGATCCTGAATCTGACAAATAACTTGAAGCCATGAACGCAGAGATGCAGTCTATTGGATCTATATGTTCAAGAATCATTATTTTGTGATATTGATAATAACATATGATGCTATAGGTACACCAAAATCAAGTTGGCAAATTTTGTGTATTTATTATTAATATGATTATTAATAAAAAAAATCAATTCTTATATTTAATTAGGTAATAATTATTGTTTTATGAAAATAATAATCATAAGAGAGAGTAACTAGTTATTATATCATATGATATGATTTAATAAGTAATCTACAAAATTTTAGACACCTTTGTTAACCATAATTAGGATAATCAGTTAATGTATTATGGTTAGTAAACCTTCCTTTTGTCTTGTCTCTTAATTTGACTACAAGGCCGAAAGTTTTCAAGAGGCATGGAAGTTTTTTTTCAACCTTCATATCTTGTCTCTCATGCCTTCCTTTCTAGGGTATTACTTTAGAATAAAATAAGGTGTAGCCTTTTTGCTTTCATGGAGTATATAAGAGAGTCTTTTGAATAAAACTTGCTAGTTTTTTTTGTCTTGGTTTTCTCTCCATGGTGAAGAAGCTATAGCTTCTCTTCTACTCTTTTCCTCCTCCTCCTCCTCCTCCTCTCTCTCTGTCTCTCTCTCTCTCTCTTGAAGGTAGTTTGGTGGTTAAAGCTACCTTGAGTTGTTTCCTATAGTACTTATTTGAAATAAGTGCTTAAAGGCTTAAGACACTCAAGAATACAAGAAGGAATTATCATTCCAAGTACCTTACCTTGACGGTGTATACTTGTAGAGAAGATCTTACTCTTTGATGTTTCTATCTTATCAACACCCCAAAAGCAAGTGGGTTCAAAGGCTCCAAAGTTTGTCATTCTAAAACACTCAATGTTGTGTTTAATAACATTCTAACCTATATAAATGGATCCCATATGATTTACTTTTGTTATAAACTTAAAAATAAACTTGTTATTTTTAAAGCTTCTGTTGTCGGGTTTTACAAAAAACTAACTTATATTTTGTATCAAAACCCATCAGTGGTATTAAATCCATATTTTATATGTTCGAATTACTTTTTATGTTTGATAATCTTTGGTTTTCGGAAAACAAGCATTGGTCTCTTTTGGTTAAGAAATGTCCATATTTGTCTTCTTCGGCAACTTACAGTTTAAAATTGTTTATATTATATATAACAATTCTTTATGCATTTTGGTTGTATAAAAGTTGCCTTAGAAGAAACAAAGATTTGTTTGTTACTATATTTGATATGTTGTGTATAAACAATCCATTTGGATCTTTGTATTATGTTCTGTTGATATTTATTTATTCATAAGATGTAATAGATAAATAGGTATTTTTTTCACTTGCTTATTTGTTGTAATAAACTACTTAGACTAGTTGTATTTTTATTTAAATGTAACAATATGAAGATATGACCATTTTGAATATGACTTAACCACGTGAGACCATAATCCCAACCATGAGCTTCTACTCCTTGTTTTGGGTTGAATTATATTCTTAATGGTTTATGTGTTACAAACTTTACAACATAAAGACTTGAAGCTCTTTTGCAAGCAAGCGTTATCTAGGCCAGTGGGAGCATGAAGACCTTTTGAAGAGTCACATAAGTCTTTTAGGAAAGACTTAATAATCCTTGTGATGGCCCACAAAAATTATTACTAGACATGGGTTGATTTATACACATTTTAATGCATGCATGTGATGTTTATTTTTTACGACTATTATATGATATGTTTGATGTATGAAAATGGTTTTTACAAGGTAAATACCATTTTATCATAAAATAATATCACTTGGAGTTTGACTAAAAAAAATATTTAAAAGGTAACATAAGATGTTTATAAATGACTAATAAAACATTTTTTATCGGTTACTGGTTAAAAATCGAATTTTGTTGAAAATAGTTTTATGTAAAACTTATATATAGCCAACTTTAAGATATTTAAAAAGGTTTAAAAGGTGTCTAAACATTATATAAACTCCATCTCTTTATAATAAATAATGAATTTTTTTATTAACAAGATTAAAATCGGTTTATAGCATTATAATAGTAAATAATAAAACTAGTAATTGTTTTTGTGTCGAAACATAATATATGATATTGATTTTTTAAATATAACGCAACATGTTGATATTTTATGTTATGCAAGTCAAATGAGATTTAAAATATAAGTACTATCACCCAATTTTTGGTTTATCAAAATATGAATTTTATCATAAGATGCAAAAAATTAAGTTTATTAAATAAAATGAGTTTTATTCTACAAATTCATAAAGTCATAAGATTCTAATTATTAAAGAGAAATTTAAAACTATGATTTTAATACCCATCCAAAACTCCAAGTCTTAGGTATAAAATGAAATTTTATTAAGACTCTTACAAGTTCTTAACGGCTCTACGACTAAACTTCAAAATATCAGATTTTAGTTTATAATTCATCGCGGCTAATGGTAAGGGTCACCTTCTCACTAGTTAGTTGCAATAGTACAAGTTGTTTCAAGTAGGAAGACTTTATCGGAATCTTGTGCGATAAATGTCACCTCCCTTTCCCGAGCTTTAACTTTTTTGGCAATCCATAGATTCTCATCAATCTCTTGGTCACGTTTCTTTCTTTTAAGTTTAGCCCCTTCTGATAGGTCGTCTTCTTCTTCATCCTCATTAGTCATATTTTCTTTTCCTTTTGATCCCGAAGTTTCATAACCCTTCGGATCATGTAATTTGGGCTTGTGTTCATGATCACCATAATCGTCAACTAGTTTCTTAGGGTTCTTCAGTGAATGGCTTCTTTGATTCCCCCCTTGTCTCGGAAAAGAGTCGGCTTCCGAAACACCCTCGATATGGTTTAGCATGGAAAAGTCGGGCTTGAGTTTGTCGGTCAGATGTTGTCGTACTAAAACCGTGAGCAAATAATGATGAGGTTCAACAAGATTTAGCAAATATTGATTAACATTGCCAACACAACTCTTTATTACAACCTTTTCAGACTTGAGCTCATCAATCTGTTGGTTTGCATTTGCAAGTTGGACAGAAAGAATCTTCGCTTTTTCCTTTTTCACAACGAGCTTATCCATGATCTTATTTTCTATTGCAAGATCAACTTGAAGCTTCTCAATTTTCGAAGAAATAGAGGCCTTATCTCCTCCTTATCCAGTCGGAGTTCAGAGCAAACATCAGCAAGTAGTTTTTCTACTTTTTCAGTCGATTCACGAATAGTCTTCACTGAGCTTTTGATGGCTTTAGTAGAGGCTTCAAGACTTTTGGCATACTCCTTGGTGAGAGTCTTGATTAACGCCTTGACAGACTCAAAGGAGTAAACATTTCCAAATAACAATTTGGAAGACCCCAATAGAGTGTCCAACTTTTCATTAAGAGACTAGAATTTCCCTTTAGTCATGGGAGCCTCATCTTCACCACTCTCTTTTTGAGCACTGAATGGGCTATAGTGGAAGTCTTGGAAATCATCTCGATCATCACCAAACACAATATCAAGATCATCATGGCCTTAGTAGTGAGATTGGAGTGAAGGAAGGACCAAAAGTGACACCAGAAGCACCTTCCCCTGTATCATATACGTTGACAGTTATTAGTGGTGTACTAGTGGTGGTTGTGGTTGATGTTGTAGAATCTATATACAGTAGGGTTTATTGAGCAATAGATATCTAGGGTTGCGAGACACCAACAGATTCATTCAGACATGTACTAATGGTGATTGGTGTAGAGATGGGTGTAGATGCAGTAGTAGGAGAAGGTGGAGGAGAAGGAACATGAAAAGTTTCATTTGGTGAGGGAGCATAATGTGACAACCCCGTTTTCATGGCCAGAAAGACAAGTTTTGTTTATGCTTTATAAAAACCAGAGTATCTCTTTTAATAAAAATGTTCCGGAATTTGTTCCCTGAAAAACATGATAAATATATTATCAAAGCATTTCCGAATAAATGTATTTTTATTCATTTTAAAACATTTAAGATGTCATCATTAATACTAAAACATAAGCATAAACAAAACTTACATTCACTTACACTAGTGATCTACATCTCTTTTAAATATATCAGTGTAAAGTAGCTTCATATCGACACCTGTGATACAAATAAGCTTGAGTGGGTCAGGTTGAGAAACCTGATGAGTACATAGGGTTTTCAACCCACAATACTATAATTATTATGTTTAAACATCAAACAATCAAACCAATTACCCATCCCCATTATCTTCTTTACTCTTAAGGATCTACCCTAAGAATCAGTTATTTCTTGTTCATTTATTCCTAAGGATTATGCTAAGGAATAGGTATGAAGTCCATCGTTGCCAATGACACAGCTGTCAATGTTATCTATTAAGCACAGCTGCCAATATTACCATTTAGGCACAGCTGCCAAAATTGTGACATTCTCTATGAGGCGCAGCTGCCGATATTATCCTTTAAGTGCAGCTATCAGGGTTTGTGATGTTCTCTATTAGGCGCAACTGTCAATACAATTGTTAGAGCACAACTGCTAGGATGTGTAGATTACATCGTAGATCAAAAGCATCTACACGTTGTGGCGCAGCTGCCAATGCTCATCTATAGGGTTCTAAGTCCATTGCTGCCAATGTTCACCTATAGGGCACTATGTCCATACTGCCAATGTTCCTCTATATTAGCTTTCATCCCTTATCATTTATCTACCCAGGTTATACCCAACATATTTTGTAGATATATAATATATATACAGTTTAAATCATTTAAAGCATGTATAAAATCGTTCATCCGGCATAGATAGCAAGTATACAGATAATATGCACACATAACACGTAATTTATATAAAACACTTCATATCTATGTGTAATATGAAAGTAACTATGCACTCACTTATTAAGGTGGTGATTCCGAACTCAGACAGCACTTCGCTTCTATTAATTTATTTTCTTTCGACGAAACCTACTGTCACTATCACTAGGTTTTTGTCTAATATTCATTGCGACTAATTATTAGTATAGATTCATCATTAACTCAGAGTCTAATTCATGTTCTATCAAGTAAGGAACAACCAAGTAGGATCATATCGGAGGTAGGGTCTGTTTGCTATACGAAGTATACTGTTTGGAAATCGCACTTTAAACACCTCACTAAATCACGTCCTAGATGTCATTCCTGTAAGTAGATCAATTAGTATAACGACTTTGAATCACTGATAAATCTTATTTCTAGGTTCATAATAACGATATTATATTTAAATATAAGTTATATTTAAAGTATGGTAGATGTATCTCACTTACAGAGGGTTTTTATACGGCTCCATTGGAGCAGAGCTTCTGAGCTGAAAAGCTCTTTTTCTTGGTGCCTTCGTGCACTCCGGGGCTCTCTTCTAGTGCTAGGGAAGTTTCCTAGGCTTTAGGGGGATTAGGGAGTCTAGCGAGAAGTTATAAAGAGAAATAAAGGCTTATGGTGTGAAGAAAATATGAAGAGTTCATCTTTTATTTATAGGGGTTTTATCGTAGAGTTGGCCCTAAGTTTCATCCGTATCTTCCGTGTACGACCTCTGTTTTCTACGTTCTTTATATCCACACGTTTTTATTTACGAGTACTACAACTTTCATTTAGACCTCGTCGGCTAGTTCTCATTCTATCTCCGATTTGCAAACTGTATCGAATTTATTGCCCTCAAAGTGTATGGACTAAGTTTCGTCCATATCTTTCGCATACGAGTTCTATTATCAAATTTCTTTATATCCACACGATGGTATTTATGAGTACTAAAAATTTCATTTAGATCCTTTCCGCTAATTCTCAATCTATCTCAGATTTACAAAAATGTATCGAATTCGTCGCACTCGAAGAGTAGGGCCTATGTTTCGTCCATATCTTTCGCATACGAGCTCCATTTTCGACTGTATTTTTATCGTTGAACTCCTATTAACAATATATTCATTTCTCATTTAGAATTTTTTGGTTAAAAATCGATCAATCTAAAATTAGAATTTCAGGCTGTGTACTGTCATGTTAAATCTTAGAAAAATCATAAGTTCCTCATACGAAGTCAGATTTGGACGTTCTTTTTATGCACACTCTCGGTTTAATATATACTATGACTTTCATTTATATCACTCAGGCTAGAAAGTATATTATCATAAATTCACTTTTTACGATTCCCGATGTAGTGCCGGTTTTGCCGTAAAACTTCGACGGGTCATAGCTGATGGGTTTTAGCCATAAGAACTTTCCTATGTGCGCATGCAAAACCCTAATGCTTGGATCTAGGCTTTCTAATTAAACATGATTTGAATCCAAGACTTCTAATGACTATTTAGGTTAAATAACAACATTGAAACAGATCTAGAACCATACCTTTGAATTCCTTGTTGATCTTGTTGTCTTAGAGCTTCTAGAGTCACAAATGTCACTCCTCTAATGGCTTACAAACACCAATAGCAAGGAGAATGATTTAGGAGAGAGGAGAGGGGAGGAAATCGGCCAGAGTTCTCTTACTTTTGATGAGATGCCGATTTCCCTTGCCCATGGGGTCTATTTATACTTGTAGACTCCTTAAGGGTTACAGTCTAAACCCTAATTGGATAATCTTCTCTTAAGGTTATCCAAAATCCATTCCTAGATAACATCATGGACGATTTTGAGCTATCCTTTAGCTCCTAGAGTTCGTCCAATCCATATCTATATGGATTTACAGTCTCAAGTTTAACTATCAAACAATTGACAGTTTATACCCTCTTATTTAATTAATCTCTTTAAGTCACCAAATTAATTCCAATTAATTCTATGACTTATATTAATCAAATAACTATATATTATTCTTTATAATATTTACTCTCTCTTAATAAATCATCCTATCAAGTTGCTATGGTGAAGGCAACCTAAAAGGACCATGCACAACCGGGTCAAATACTTGCCTAATATAGTTGCAGCCTTAGACACTATTCCAACAGTCTCCCACTTGGATAAGTCTAGTAACTATACAAGTACAATTCGGTTTGCAATCATAGCTCTCAAAGACGCTGTCAAACTCTGATCTAATCAATCTTGTCCTTTAGATAAGGGATCGCACAGTCCTCTGTTAGATATCATGTTGACAATCCTATGGAATGGTTAGTCTAGCATTTGATTTCTCGATCTCCGATTTATTCGACATAGAACTTAATCGAACACATCAATTCAGTTCTGACCGGGCCCGGCACATAAGTCAAATCAAATCATCGAGCGGCCGAGATATCACTTTTACCTTCGTTGATAAAAGTTACAGATAAACTTCGACTTATATGCATTTACTTATTCATTAACCAACTATACACAACAATGTGTTTTATAACACCGAGTTACTGATGCGTTTTCGCATTATCAATGTACAATCAATTAACAAATAATAAACCATATATCTAGATTTTAAGACTATATGATATTATCGTCTTGCGATCACCTTTTATATCATATTCCATAAAGTGATTCCAGCAAGCGCGGGTTTGTTCCAATGCTCAAAACCAGTTCATAAGCACTCATGAACGTTGCAGTAACCCTTTGCTATGTCTAACACCATTTAGACAATCTATACACCAATTCATGACAATCTTCATTCATATCTACTTCCAACATATGAACGATTGTGGATAATTTGAACAATTCGATTATTCCTAATAAACTCAATTATTCTGGAAGTCAAAACATGCAAAGTTAAACAATAGTTAAACGATCAACATAAGACAGTAACATTACTCATAAATAAAACTCCTTTATTTAATCGCCAAATGTTAATTACATTTATTTATTACACGTTTCTAATACTATCTAATCTATACTAATATCATCCTTCAGCCCAATACTCCTAGCATGCTGCAAGTGCTTAACCCTACTCAGTCCCTTC